ATATGGCAAAGTTCCTGATTCCTGTAGTGTTGGTGGCATCGAGTAGGCCTTGGCTTCGTCCTAGGAGTCGGTGAGGATGCTGTGATTTTGGTGGAGCAGGTTAAGGCGGCGCTGTATGGATGGAGCAACATCGATAGACGAAGCGATCGTCAGAGCAGCTCCTTGGAGGTGGAGGACGGGGTGGCTGAACCGGCGGGACGACGAGATGGAAGATGGATCCTCATCCGGGGAGGTGGATGAGGGACATCATGCTGTTGCGGTGGATGACGTCGTCGGGGAAGAGGCTCCGGCTAGGTAGCGGTGAGGTGGCGGACGGAGGAGGGTGGGGTTTCGCAGCTAGAGCGGAGAGGTTATGGCAGCCTGGATTTCGAATGGCGAAAAGGAGGCAATGGGAGGGGGGAACCATGACTTAGGGACGCGCTTGTCCAAAATGTAGGGTGTGTTACAAAAGTACCTTCATCGATTTGAACTAGCGGCCCTTTCGGCTTAGGGTTAGAAGGGGGATTTCGCGTGTCGGAATTTGGCAGCTGGAGGGAATTTTCGCAGACGTTGTAATTTTGGGATAGCAAGGTGCGGGTTGTGAAGACGCGAGTTTTGGGAGCACGGTACCTGAGGCCTCCTTTGGTTTAGAAGAATCTTGTAGGAATTTCATAGGATAGGATTTCTATAGGAAAAATTCCTTCAAAGCCCTTTGGTTTGTAAGAATGGAATCCTATTTCTATGGAGAAATTCTTCATATCCTTCACATTTCATAAAAAATAAACATCAACCTAGACTTAATGAAAAAAAAAATCCTATAATGTGAATTAAAGGGCATCTCCTTTCCTATTCCTACTTATGGGATTTGAGATACATGTCATCTCATTTCCTATGACTTTTCTATTCCTATGATTTTTTTACCCTATGAACCAAAGTAGGCCTAAATTTTTGGGATATAACAGAGCGCAGGTTGAATTTTAGGGACAAGCCTAACGTGTAATATTGTACTTTTACATAACAAACCAATTCGCACTTCCGTCAACGAAAAAAATATAACTATTTACACCACAGAGAGAGAGAGAGAGAGTCTTGTCCCGTTTTACTATACAAATGCTATTCAAAGTTATGAATCCATGTTATGTTCAATTAAATTTTTTCGCTGGCTGTATAATGCATGTAACCTACTCATACCAACATTTTAGTGCATTCCAAATGTCTATACTACCGCTGCAATTACAACTAAATTTGAATTCATTTATCTACTTGAATAAGAATCTACAATCATGATTGTTGCCAACTTCAACCATCATTTATGTATTACCTTAACAACACACCACATGATTACTATAGAGATAGATATGAACTATGTGTACTATATAAACTCGAATTCAATTTTTTGAATACATTTGATGTTGATTCTAGATAATAGTACATTTGATGTACTATCTAAATATTCATAATCTAAACCATGTTCCATACGTACACCGTGTTTATCACACAAAGTATAATGCCCCGCCTCCTACATTATGACAAGTATTTAGCCCTGAGCTGCAAAAGCCACACATTATCCCAAGCTATAATCAATGATCTACAATAAGATATCTTCTTCAAGTATCCGTATCCACTTTTCTATAATGATTTATGACCTCTGTTCATCTTTTACACCTTCACGATCATCTTCTCTTTGTAGCTAGGTAGCGCTAACTTTCTATCGTGCATGCACACACCCGCCCCCTCTCACCCTCCCTCAGTGTCCCCTCATCATGCACATTCATTATTTCTCTTTAGGTCGTTCACCCACGGTGTGTGTAGGTCCCCCGACTCCTTCTTTCCGGCTCACACCGGTCGATATACCTCTCTAGCCAAGTGTGCCTACCACAAACACACACTTCCCCTATTCTCTTCTCACCGTCCATGCCCCCCTATGTCAAATACGGTTCGACGCAGGTGCACACTCCCGCCCCTCTTTTCATCTATCCCATACTCACACACTCCCCCCCCCTCGACACAGTAGGCCTCTCGCACCACCTCCTAGCCGCACCCCTCTCCCCCTGTCCGTCTCTCCAGACCTTATTTGCTTCTAACACATGCATGCATGTATACGTACCGATCTCCCCACATAGCTAGGTCGACTATAATTCTTTTTCCCCACACACCGATAGACTTACCTCACTAGTTATGTCTCTCCCTTTCTCGGACACACGACGGTTGATATTCCTATGTAGTTACGTATGCTTACCACAACCATATCGTCCCCCCTCATCATCCTTGCATACCTCCCGACCCGTCTCTCACATGGACGTGCATAGACAGGCAGGCATCCCCGGCCCTCTCTTATTGATATTGCACTTGCATGTCTACCTTTCTGTTTGCTCTTAAAAAATCAGTTGATACTTATTAAAGTCGGATCAGCCTGGTTGTTAGTCTACCATCATTGATGTATTATTATTCGCAGTGTGAATCGGAAAGTCATGTGTCTTCTTCACTTGGTTACACATAGTAGGACTGCTAATCGATGCTCATTTGATCAATTTGTTGTAGGACTGCTTCTGGATTTCTGGTGGTGCTGCTGCTGTCGAGGGCTCGAGGCTATAGACGAGTCTGAAGTTCCTATGTAATGTTGCGTAGTCTGGTGTTTAACTACAGATAGTACGGTATGGTGTAGTAATGCTTGGGTGATGGTTCTCAGGTGTTTTACTGCCGGATTCACATTCAAGAAACTTACTCCGAACATTGTGTTAAATTCTTCTTTTACCACTTTATCACAATTATCGGAATTCATATTTTTTAAAGCTTCATGAAGATAAAGAATTTGATGCAATTTCACTTAACATCTTTTGTGTAGCTTCCTTTTGTAAACCCAACTAGCAAATAAACAAGAAATTAAAAGATTCAATTGCAAGATCTAAAGTTAACCTTCAAGCACTCACCTCCTCGGCAATAGAGCCAGAAATAATTTGATGTCTACTACACAACCTTATTCTTGTAGACTCTCTTGGGCATCCAAGCATGGAGTTTTGTAGGACAATAGAAAATTTCTCTCAAGTGGATGGATGACCTAAGATTTACCAATCTGTGGGAGGTGTAGTATGAAGATGGTCTTTCTCAAACAACCATGTGCTTAATTAAATTCAATTTACTTGCCCTCCTCCCCCTCCCTCCCCGAGCCGCTCCCGCGAGCGTCCTTGGGAGAAACCCTAGAGCGTCGCCTCCTCCCCTCTCCCCCGCGCTGCCGCCGGGCAAAGCTCGGCTGGCGTCGATGGCGGCGGGGATCTTTTCCTCTTCTTTGCGGTTGCCTGCCAGAGCGGCACGAGGAGGCGCTGGGCTGGTGCAGCGGCGACCTGGGGTCCTGCCGGCGTGCGGCGGCTGCGGTGTGGCGTCTTTCTCGATTAAAAGAAGGTGTGGCCGTATTTAACACCACATCATTTCTATGCTTCCAATCTCCCATAACACAAGGAGTAGCATGGAGTGGAGGTCCTTTTGGGTGCTCGTCGACAGCTCCAATGAAGTGCACCAAAGCAATGATGGCGTGCTACCTGGCAAAAGCATTGTGTGACACGAACCAACATATGATCGGATGGTTGGGAGGACAGTGATATTCCCATCACACCAGAGTTCAAGTCCTAAACTTGACATCGGTGCTTGCATTATTCCTCGATTTATTTCAGGCTTCCAGCGATGTTCGTTCAGTTGGAGGAAACATTCCCGTCAATTGCGAGGCGCGTGTGATGACTTTGTAAAATCTCAAGATGCTATGCTGGCTCAGTCTCTCGAAGGTGGTCATATGGGTAGGATGCAATAATGCTACACGCACGTAGCTGTGACGGGCGTTTCACGGATTGGTTAACGCTAATTGGCCTCTCCCTCCCTGATTTTCAGGGGGTGGGCCCTTGTCTCTCCCTAATCCCAATTAGAAGATGCCACCTGTGCTGGTCCGTGAAGTATGTAAAAACTTTTTCGTGTGTCTAGCATCTCTCGGTAGGATGTGCGTGTGTGCGGTCATGTGGATAAGTGTATGTGAGTGACTCCGATTGTACATAGTTAAAGAAAAGCATTGTGTGTGTGTGTGTGTGTGTGTATAAAGGATCGTCAAAAAATACATTCACGGGACGTTGCTACATGTTACGAACTCACCAAGGCGGGCTACCTTCGCGCGGGGAGACACGGAAGCGTTCCATGCCACACGATATGTGCGGGGTCGGACGGCGCTGGACGCGGCTTACAAAAGTAAGAAATTATCCCTCAAACATTTTTCTAGATTGATAGGTCTCGATCGCAATAAGGGAGATATAGGGTTCGCGCGGAATCCTACCCCCGGAACGGGACGCTGAGTCGCTGACAACGTGGGCCTGCTACTAAAAAAAAGCAGTGCTATCAGGATTAAGGACGATGGATCAAATCATCCGTAGATTGCAAATCCGTTTGAGATGGACATCGTCCAGATCCCGGAATCGTGTGGTTACCGGATACTACTCCTACGTCGTGATATATATCCCCGAGTTCGTTATTAGAATCCAAAACTGTAGAATACGGAGCACGCAGCCCCAACAAGACGCCGTCCGTCGACCCAGGAAACCAAGCCATTGTGCAATTTGTGCCCAAGTCCAGCCAGGTCTTTCTCCTCTCTCCCACTTTTGCTTTCGCCTTCTACGTTGCAGGGTTTCGACTTTCAGGGCGACCTAGTATCAAGTACTCCCTCCGTAAACTAATATAAGAGCGTTTAGATCACTAAAGTAGTGATCTAAACGCTCTTATATTAGTTTACGGCGGGAGTACTACTGTATTGACTTTCTTGTGATCGTCTGCAAAAGAAATCGGGTTTAGGTTATTTTCAGGTTCATCTCTTGTACCTCTGCATTGCGGTCGGCAATATGAATAATTTTTGTATGCCTTAGTAACTGTGTGATCAAGCTATGGCTATGAGGCATCATTATCAAGATTAGATATTTTCCTCATTGTGCCCTTACTACTATGGCCCGATGATCAATTTCACTTGCAGGAGAAGAGGAAGGGGCGGAGCTATGGGCAACTCCGGCAGCACAGGTATGTTCGCCCGCCCAATTGAACCTCAGATTGTTTCTGCTATAAACGAAAAGTCAGACACGAAATTCACAACAATTAATCCCTTGTAAGTACACTGTGAGATCTCTCCCTTAACTTTCTTAGGTAGAAGTGAGATCTCTCCGCGAATAAACTCGGATAGTACCCTAGCGGACTCCCCATGGGGAGGATTCGAACACCGGTGGTTAGGTGGGCCACTTTACCACTATTAGTTTATACATATGAGAAAAGTGGCCTCTTCAAACCAAGCAAAAAAGAAGAGAAAAACGCATGTACTGTATCTGTATGCAAGATTTTCATCCATATAACCTGAACATAGAGAAGTATTCTGCACCCTTCTATTCTCCCCATGGTGAATATTGCAACTTGTTTATCTGGAACTGCAAACCTGCACATAAATTTGCTACCCTTTTTTTTCTCAGTTGTATAATTTTGATTTATGCACTTGTCAAATTTCAGCTCCCGCGCGTCTAGGAAAGACCCATGTTCCACATTTGGAATGGAAGGTGCATGACTTCTCAGCGCTGCTTGAGACGAAAGCTACCTCGGCGATATCTTCTTTTTTTCACTGCTCTGGGTACAAGTGGTACGCATCATAACTCAAAAGGAACTTTGCAAAATTAACGTATTAGATGTGTAAATATCATACGGTCATGTTTCAGTCAGGTTGAAATATCAATCACAATCACGCGAACCCATGAAAATAGCCGGACAATGAAGCTTGAGGATGCATCAAGTGAAGAAATTAAACTTATACTCATTTAGTTATGACTTCTAGGCTTACTTCGTTTTTCTTCAATTCCCTTCGCAGGTGCCTGCAAGTGACTCCAAAGCACAATCAAGATGCTCAAGTGTCTCCAAATCGCAAACAAGATGATAAAGGAAATCCATATGTTGCTCTTTCTCTTATGATATTCCGGGAAGGCTTGGAGCCAGGTCACACGGTGCATGCAGTGTTTGAGTTGTCAATATTCAACCATTCGAAAGGAATGTATCGTGGATGCAAAGGTAGACTCGTGAATGTGTTTGTTCAAGTACATCCATACTATTTCCCCTCAAAAACTAATACATCCATCATCTTAGCTGGGACGGAGTACATGGTCTTGACTGCATCACCAGTTAGAGCTATAGATTCCATCATTACAAATCAATACCTATCAATGTCGTAACATGATCAATTACTTTGCCCATTAACAAGTCGTTTCATATTTTCTTCGCTGTTAAGTTTATCCATTGACCTTCTGTACTGTGTGTCACACTTGAGACTCTTTTTGATTGGGACAACATTCCAGAGTACATATGCATGTTCGCTTTTTAAGAATCATTATTTAGATGGATTTCTCTACTTTAAACTCAGTTGATTGTATTCTTTTTGCGGGAAAAGGTTGATTATTTTTTATTTTGGATATTTCAAGTGTTTATTTCTCTAATTTTCAACTTTTACCTAAACACAGCTAGCTACAACTTCAATGTCAAGAATACCTACTCGAACAAGGAATGCTTGATTCCTCTTGAGGAGCTACTGAAATCATCTGCTTTTCTAGTTGATGATAGTTGTGTCTTTGGTGTGGAGATATTAAAAATTGACGTCTCTTCTTCCGAAATGAAGTCTGTCGTGGTTCAGAAAAAGGCTATCACAGTTCAGAACCTCTTTGTCCAGAAGAAGGGATTCATGGAAGGGACATACACTTGGACCATGAACAATTTCCTAGAATTGGACTCTCAGCACTTTGTCCGTTCTCCTACATTTGAAGTTTGCGGGCATAAATGGTATTCACCTGTTACCAGTTGCATCACAAATTCTCTCTCTATAAATACTATGCATGTGTTATCCGACATTGTTGCTTATACATATGTTTTAGCTTACCATACCTTGTTAGTAGTTACTTCACAGTGGACAGAAGCATTTTTTAGTGCTTTGTGTCAATGGACATCACCGATAGCCAATGGTCATGTCTTTGTGCAAGGCAGCAAGGTCTATTTTTAGTTTGATCTTTAAGCATGGAACCAAATAACTCTTTTCTTCTAGTATATTTACAGTAACATTATTATTAAATTGTACTGTAGTCATGTTTTGCTCAGATTTTTTGTATAATTGTAAGACTCTAATTGTAATGCCACCAAGTCGTGTTCAAAGTTAATGGGTGTACCTGCCTACGCCCAAGCTCAGCCACAAGTTTCTCATTTCATAACTAACCACATTCTTCAAATAAATTTCCGCGGGTACCCAATTGTATGTGAAGTATCACTTCCCATTCTTGTCAACAGGTACATGGGCATGTATCCGCGTGGTGACAAGAGCAGCACTGATTGCCTCGCCTTGGGTTTGTACCCGGAGTCCTCGGATGAGCTCTTTATCGAGTCCAGGAAGGTGCTTCGAATGAGTCTGTCCATCCTGGACCAAAAGAATGGAAAATACTTAAGAAGAACTTCAGGTTAAGTTGTTCTTAGCAACTACCAGTGCAGTGTGTGAATTACTGTTTGTAACCCCCTGATAATTACAGTTCATCTTACTTTTCTGGTGATGGCAGGTCTCTTGGTGTGTTTTAGTCAAGGCTGGTCATGGTCCGACTTCTTGCCGCTCAAGGAACTCCACGATCTGTCAAGAGGCTATCTTATAGAATCGAACTGCGTCGTCAAGGCTGATCTTACTATCTTTGGGTCATCCAGTGATGGCTAGATGCTTACCTCGTGGCCTGGTGTAGAGTTAATATGCCTTCATCCTACTACTATATATACATATATATGAGATGGTGGTGTTGATTTATTTAAAGTTCTTATATAGTATTAAAGATGAACTAGTTCACAAGAAGTCAAGAAATGAGTACTAGGTATATTTTCTCTAATATATTATTTGCAAGTACCTCAATTTGTGTATGGATGATGTTCCATCGATCATGCCAGTTTGATGAGTTTCATTTGCATTTGGTTCCATGATCCCATCTTCACGGCCTCAAGCATTTTCAAATGTCGGCCAAAAACGTTAGTGGACTTGCTACAAATTCTTATAAACTGTAAGGCAATGATTTTGGTCTTCTATGTCTTCTTCTCTTTGAGAGCGATCCATTCAAATAAGACTAATTTGTTTCCTTTCACTTTTTACCACTGTATCACTACCACATTTATTTACATCCATTTAATATTGCTTCCTCTACATGATTATCTGCGTGATTTATCACTGCCACATTTATTTATCCTTTTTTAAGTCTTCATGTTGCAAATGAGACTTCATTGGTTGCCCTTGGTGTGATGTGGTTTACGTGAGCATGCATCGGTTATATTACGGTGCTGCAGTTGTGCTGCCTATTTCCTCTTTTGAAATGTCAAATTGCACTTCTTCCTGTCCTGTGATAACATTCTGGTAATATAGGATGAGCATCCTTGTATTTTTATTTTATTTTGAGGGATCCTTGTACGTTTCTTGCTCAACACAGCAGAAGCTATCATAATTTGGTGACTGTTGCTTTTGTTGAGTGAGTGGTACCCCCTCCCGTGTGATCCTTTTTTTGGTGTGCAATGGTGTTATGGCCGATTTAGCTAGGCCCACAGGGCAATCTTAGCCCACAAGTTATCTTAGATTAATTCTTATGTAAGTTATCTTAGGTTAATTCTTATGCAAGTTATCTAGGTTATAAATATAGGTTGTAAGATTTTTTTTGAAATTAAGCAATAAGAATATTATTATCCCTATTGCCCAGCTCCCGGAAGAGCCGGAACCCTAGCCGCCGCCGCCATCTCCCTCCGACGCGACGGCGCCCAGCCGCCGGCGCGCCCGATCATCGCCCGTCCCACTCCATCCTTCCCCTACAACCTCCGGAGCAAATAAGAAATAAGAATTGTAACATCACATTGTGATCAGTATTAGCGTTATGAAAGCAAGACTTCTGAATGCCGTGGACAACTGCAGTATGGCATTTCTGAGCAAGCACAATTGCATCACGGCAACATAACTTGATGATACTCGTAGCAACCACAACATAACATGTGAATCAATCATTTGCAATATGAAGCATTGACGTCAGGTCAATCATGGAAACAATCTTTAAAAGGACCTATAATCAAATGTGATAATCTGAACCGGCAGTGTACTCTTGAATTGCATTTGATTAGATGTCGAATCGCTAAATGTGCAAACATAGAGAGAAATAACCGAAGCGGTAATCAGTATTTTTCTCTAACAGGGTAGCTCCTCGGCAAAGCAGATCAGAGAAATTACAACTCTAACATCACAGTAATCAGTATTAGTGTCATGAAAGCAACAAAAAAATTGCAAGAAAAGTGGAATAAAAGAAAGGAAAGGCATGGATAATTATTGTCATACTTTTGTACACAATACACAAAGAAGCAGGAGATAATACAACCTGGTCTCTCGCAGGGCAGAGATAAGTTGGTCAAGGGAAAGGCCAGCCAATGACTCATGCAATGCAGCTAATATAACCATCCATCTTCCATCAGTAAATCCCAAAAGCAACCTGAAGGAACATGTAAACATCCTCAAGAACAATTTATAACCACAATGCTTTGTCATACTCAAGAACTTTTTGTCTGAACCAAACACTGTTAAACAGGGCGATGGCTACTGGACATGCCACCTCCTCCGTAAAGCAAAAATGCAGACCAGAGAAATAACAAATGTAACACCGTAGTTACAAGCATAAGCATTCTGAAAGTGAGAATGGCATGCAAAGAATTTTATTAATATACCAAAAAAAATGCTTGAAAATGTGAACATGAAAAGTAAGAAAGACAAGGAAAATGGATGAATATCTGTAGAAGAGAACTTTCAGAAACATTACACATAAAAGGAGACTAAGACAAGATGCAAACTTTATCTGACAATTTGCATGGATTTACACTTGTTACTGAAAAATAGAGAGGCCACGGTTAGTCGGCCATTATATTCTATCACAAGTACTATGAAGCACCTATTAACCATGTCCAATTTTATATATGATATGTCTCCTGCCCGAGTAATATTCAAGTTGGTGTTTCATCTGTCGTCGTACAATGAAGCGCCTGGTCCAGGTCAACGACATTCAGTTGTCCCAAGCTGGTGCTCAGCAGTACATGTCGAAGTATTTTACTATATATACTGTTTGGGTGAAATTTTGTTGTGAAGTCTGGTCTTTAGTCAGCTTTTGGCGTCTGGGTATGGGTTTAATCATTTCTCCTGCCACTGCCCATTTGCCATTTACCTTTAGGGCCGGGATACCATGTGATGATTGGTATTGATAGACTCTTTTTATTTATTTATTGGTATTGATAGACTTCCCACGGTGTCAATTAGCGTCATTATGTTTTTTACTCGCTAACCCTCAAGACAATTGTGCACTAACAGGCAGTTCTTTATCATTTTCTGATGTTTGGCTTAGGCGGTGGATAAAGGTTTTGCCAGGTTGATCTGGTGATGTTTTGTCCTCGAATCCTGACCAACATGAGCCAATGTAGGCAACTAGGGCCGATGTTAGTCGAGCTCGACGGAGCCCAGCCACAGCTCCTCTCAGTCACCTCACTGAGCCACGGTCACTGTCGGAGTCGCACAACCGTTGAACACAAGTACACAACTACTCCCTCTGTAAACTAATATAAGAGCATTTAGAGTGATCTAAATGCTCTTATATTAGTTTACAGAGGGAGTAACTGTTAACCTGTTCAGATGGCCTTGACCTGGGACTAGGACAGGATGGGCGACAAACCATGTACGGCCTGATGAATGCTGTCAACAGGTTGACACAGCAGCAGCTTTCAGGCTGCTTCCTGAACACTGAACAGGTCAGTATGGCATTTCAAGTGAACTGCAGCACAGTAACATAACATGATGGATAAACTCACAGGAACCACAACCGCAGCACAGTAACCTAACATGCTGGATAAACTCGCAGGAACCACAACACAACACAACATGGGGGTCAAGAATTCAACATTTGCAACATGAAGCATTATCATCAGGTCGATCATGGGAACAATCTCTCATAAAAGGGTCGATTATGAGTACCCCGCACTGATTATAAACCAGGAGGTACAAAACGGAAACTCCCAGGCTCATCTACATCGTCAGAATACCAGGATATGGTTCTCAAAACCAAAAAAACATTCACCTTCTCCCATCAAAATCCATCAGAAATATGATTAAAAACCTTATCGACAGAATGCTCATCAGATTACCTGTCAGAAACAGATTTGTTAACATGTCGAATTGCTGAATGAGTAAATGTGCAAACACATATATAAGAAAAAAAATTACAAGCGGCGATGTACTCTTGAACACTAGGAATCAATTTGTGTTCAACTCGATGAATATAGGTTCAGTCAAACGAATAAACACTGTTACAAAAATATGATGACTGCTGAACATGGCAGCTCCTCTGCAGAACAGAATAGCGTTATGAAAACTCTGACATAACATTGTTACAAAATGAAAGCAATAATGGCATGCACCACCTTTCCTTGTATATTGAAAAATGCAAGACAGCATGAACAAGATAAGTAAATAAGAAAAAAGATAGCATGAACGAGAGATGTGAAATAAGAAAAAGGAAATGAATGGATAACTATGGAGATACTTTTGTACACATAACACAGATAAGCAGGAGATTAATACAACCTGGTCTTGAGCTAAGTTGAGCCAGGGAGATGCCTGCCAAAGAGTCATGCTATGAAGCAAAGAGCTGACGAGTATCTATCTTCCATCATTAAATCCTGAGAAACATGTAAACATCCTCAAGACCACTTCATAACCAGAATGCTTTGTCATACTTAAGAATTTTTTTTTGTCTGAACCAACAACTGTAAAACAGGGTGATGGCGGGTGAACATGCCACCTCCTCCGTAAAGCAAAGATGCAGATCAGAGAAACAATAAATGTAACACCGCATTTTACAAGTTTAAGCATTCTGAAGTTAAGTATGTCATGCAGCAATATATCAGAAAATGCTTGCAAACGTGAACAGAAAAACTGAAAAGCGAAGGAAAATGGATTAAGAATTACTCCCTCTGTAAAGAAATATAACTAACTTTACTGATCTAAGTGCTCTTATATTTCTTTACAGAGGGAGTATGAAAGAAAACTTTCAGAAACATTACACATAAAAGGAGATAAGACAAGATGCAAACTTTGTCTGATAATTTGCTTGTATTCTTCCCTGATTTACACTTATTGCTGAAAATTAGAGAGGCCATGGTTAGTAGGGCATTATTATATCACAAGTATGAAGCACCTATTACTTTCACTTCCAATTAGCCATGTCCAGCACTATTTGATAATTTAAACAATGTACAAAACATAGCTGCTTCCCATTATATAAGAATATTATCATTTCTTACAAGCTGCAGGAACTATACTCCAAACCAACATAGTTAGTGTGACGCCCGGATAATTAGGCTATAGTAATCACGTGTTAATGATGCCAAGCCATCAAAGTTACTGTCGTTAATCTCGCGTTAGTTCAGAACCGATCCAAATTCAAATTTGAAAGAAAGGCAAACAACAAAACTTTTGAAACATTAAAACCAAAATGTTCGGTTTGTGGCAAATAATCCTTACTAAATATTTGTGAAGGAACCACACTTTTATTATGTGTTTTAATGCACTAAAATGATTTAAATATTAGCAAACCTGGTTATTTAAATGCCTTTATAGATTGATAAAATATCAAACCAAATTAATTGGGGTCTAGACTT